TAGTCAAAAATTAATATAGTCAGCAAAGTTGTGTCATATATTTTAAAATTTCGTTATAAGTAGTAAAACCTCGTTCTAGTCAGACAAAATTACTTGAAAATATTGAAAACATTATATCAAACTTTAAATTATTGTATTTATTTTATTATTTAATAAAAAAAAAAAAAAAAAAACAAAATTTATGTCAGACAAAACACATTTATTTAGTCAGAACAATTTGTAACTGAAAACTGTTGTTGACAGCACTAAAAATCTATTGTAGTCAGGCAAGAAATTTTCAATTCTTGATAATTTGATATCAGTAGTAAAAGATAATTCTAGTCACTCAAGAAATTTCAATTCTTGATAATTTGGTGTCAGTAGTAAAAGAACCTTATAGTCAGACAAGAAATTTCCAATTCTTGGCATTTTTTGAATCAGTAGTAAAAGATCATTTTAGTCAGACAATTTTTTTTAATTATTTTGGTCAGAGCAATTTGTAACTAAAAATCTGTTTGTAAAAATATATTGTTAGTAGTAAAAATATAATGTTGTCAAACAAGAAATTTTTAATTCTTGATAATTTGATGTCAGTAGAAAAAGATAATTATAGTCAGACAAAAAACTTCCAATTCATCATAATTTAGTATCAGTAGTAAAATCACCCTTCAGTCAAACAAGAAATTTCTAATTCTTGACATTTTTTGTATTAGTAGTAAAAGATCGTTTTAGTGAGACAAAAGAAATTTTTAATCTTTTGATCATTTGGTGTCAGTAATAAAAAACCAGTTTAGTCATACAGAAATGTTTGAAATTCTAGCAAATTTCGTAAAACAGTATAAAGGCTTACTGAAAAAGCACAAAATATGCCTCTGGCTTTTTGTTTCCCTTTTAGATTCTGTTTGTCAAACATGGTATTATTTTCAAAAAATATATGAATTTATCCCTTTGTTACAATATACAATATTTTATCTTTTGTATTATTACTTCTCTTACACTGTTATTATGTTCATTTACAAAATCCTACTACTGCAAAAAAATTTTTTTCTTCCTCCATTCTCTAAATAAATTTTTCTCCAAATTTTTATTGACTAAAAAAGTCATTTCACGGTGTATACAAATTTTTTCCCTTTTTCATTTTGTGAAATTTAATAAAAAAGAAGTAAAACAATATTTTCCATTATATCCATTTGTGTTAAATTTTACTCGTTGCATTTCGTTGAAAGTAATATTAGTGAGAGAGAATGTTTTCAATTGAAACATGAAAATAATGAATGCACAGTCTCAAAAAAACTAAATTTTCTGTTTTATATAATAAAAAACAAAAAAAGGCAAAAAGAAATTCGTCATATAAAAGGAAAATTCTAAAATTATTTTCCAGTCACTTTATATATCATATATACTCCTTTTTGTCTCTGCTTTTAAATTTAATTACACTTTAGAGCAGATGTAGCCCCCGAGAAAATGAGCTTCTATCATTTCTATTCTTCTTATATAAGGATCCAGTTACAACTTTGTTGCAATGAAAATTTTATTACTTTTAATTTATTTAACGACGCTTGACATTTATGCGAAAAATGACAAAGCATTTTGACTTATTTCAGAAAAAAGAGAGAGAGAGAGAGAGGAAAAAAAACTTCACAAAAGAGTAGAAAATTATAAACTTGAATTATAATGTATTATAATACATTATGTATGTGCAGTATTAATATTTTTTGTATAAACATACTTTCAAATAATGTTCAATCTATATAAACTTATAAAATTGTTGTAATATTTTACCTCTCATAAGCTCTTTAAATTTAATGTACATATTTTAAAATTAAAAATATTTTTCTATATGAAACATATTTTCCTACATGAGAGATGAAATATTTGTTGGATCATATCAAACATATTTTAATAACCTAATTGAAAAATAACATAAAAAAAGAAGTAAAGTTTTTTTTTTATGAAATTAGAGTTCAATTTTAACTTTACAAATTTCATTTACCGAAATCTCGTAATTTTCCACTTCCGAAACATTAAATTAATTTCATTTTTTAAATTATATTTTAATTTCAATTTTCATAGCAGCAATAATTTTAATTTTCTTTGAGAAGTACTTTTTTACATTCGTGTAGAACCGGTTGCATCTCATAAGACCCCTTCGCAGTTGTTTTTTTCCAAAAGTTTTTCTTACGAGCAATTAACAATATTTCGCAATTATTAATTATTAACTTTTTAATAATTAATTATTATAAATTATTAATTATTATTAATTATTATTCATTATTATTCATTATTATTCATTATTATTTATTACTATTAATTATTATTAACTACTGTAAATTATTTTAACCATTAATTATAATAAATAACAATTAATAATACTAATTAATTTTTTTTAAATATTAACTATAGATATAATTTTTATCAAGTACCTAATAAATTCATATAAATATATTGGACCAATATTCATTAAAGATTCTAAAACAAAAAAATTTTTAAAATAGAATAAAATCTATTTTTATGAATAATACCTACTAATTGTTAGTAATTATTATTGATTGTTAGTATTTAGTATTTTACAATTTACAGTAATTATTTAAAATATATAATTAGAAACATTAATAATACTAAAAGAAATGAAAACTATTTCACTGATTGCGAGAGAGTTTTCATGCCATCTGGACGGGAATTCACCGAATTATAATGGCGCGAAATTCAAAATCAATAAAAAAAAAACAGAGCGAAAAATGTAAAAATATTTTTAAGACGTTTAAGCACTGAAATTGGAGCTTGACATTGATTTTTATATTCGCAGTCTTGGGCCAATATTGGCCAAGGTTATTCGGATACATTTTGGCCGAACTCCAAATTTACAATTTATGTCTTTAAATTTAAAAACTTCGGAAAATTTTTATCTTCTCTTTCAAAATTTATTATTTTGTTTTTATTTTCAAGCTGATAGATTAATAATTTTTTTGCAATTATTATTTCAAGCAAATATTAAATATTTGGAAAAAATTTTTTTTTTCTTTGCAATTATTACTGCAATTAAATATTAAATAATATTTGAAGAAAAAAAATTTTTTACGTTGCAATTATTATTGCAATCAAATATTGAATAATATTTGGCATATTATACTAGCAACGCAATTCGTGCGCTAAATCGCACGGCTAACTTTTAACTTCATTTCTTTAAATAAAATTAGCAATTTTAAAAAGAATAGAATTTAAAAATTTTTTAGTCAAATTGTTGTTGAAAACACTAAAAAAATTCAATTTTGGGAGAAATTACAAATAATTGCTGAAATTCAATTATTTTCAAAAGTAATCAAATTCTTTTCCAAAATTCAATTATTTTAAAAATTTTTAATACAATTTTTGACAAAATTTCAATTATTTTCAATAATAATAAAATTTTTTACAGGTATTGAATTCTTTTTATAAATAATAAAATTCTTTTTAGGAATTCAATTATTTTCATAAATAAAACTATCCATTGCAGAATATACAAATTTTAATACAATTTTAATCGAATTGCTCGAAAAATGTAATTGTTCTTAACAATTTTATTAAAAATCGTCAAAAAAAATCAATTATTTATAAATGTTTTGATAAAATTCTTTATGAGAATGCAATTTTAAGAAATATTTAATTATTCAATAAATGATTTATTTGTCCATTTAAATAATTGACTTCTCGTAGAATTTTCTAATAAAAATTGATTTAAAAATGGATTTCAGTTAAAATTATAGATTTTAATATTTATTATTCAAATTTTTCAAAAATTCAAATAATATTTTAATATTAAAAGCATTATAGCATGAATTACAAAAAAAAAAATTGAATTTTGAAAAAGTTTCAAATTAAATTCTTTGAAAATCTTAATTTTTCATACTTATAACCAACAATTGTGTAGAATTAATTATTTTGAAAAAGTTTAATTGAATTTTTTTCTTAAAATACTTAAAATTATTTTTTTTTACTTAAAACTTGTACTTTGTTTATGAATTGTAATTGAGAAGCAGAAAATGTGCAAAATATTTGCTACTTTCTAATTTTCCAACAATTTTCTAATTTTTTTTTTTAGAAAAAAGGAAAAGATAGCTGTATAATTTCGATTTGTCAAACAATGAAGTTTTTCATATTAAAAAAAAGCATAATATTTTGCAGGATTTACATTTGTTAATTACGTAAAACGTTTGTTACAAAATGCTAATATTTTTAGAAACAAAGAAGTAATGAATAATAACATTAATCATTTTTTTTAAGAATAATAAAAATATTTTTGTATATTATTTGACTGGACAGAATACGTCGATTATTATAGTTAATAATAATAATAATAATAAAAATTTGTAAAAAAAAAATTTTTTTTGCAATTATAATTGCAGTTAAAAATCATTGAACTATTAATTTTTTGTATAAAGAAATATAAAATTGTATAAATAATATTATTGTAATTAAATAGTTTTTGCAAGATATAAATTGATTTTGAATTTTTTTGCAATTTTGACATTTGAGGCAGTCCATAAATTACGTAAGACATTTAAGGGGAGGGGGAGGGGGGGGGGTCAGAAAATTTCTGCAAAAATGGTAAAAATAAAAGATTGCATTTTATGCAATCTATACAATTTTTACTGTAATTAAATATTAAAAATAAATATAAATTATTTGATATTTTTATATATTTATATATAGAAAAATATCAAATAATTCTGCAATGCGTGTGATTAAAAAAAGAATACCAAAGTACGATCGAAAACCGTTAGATATCGCCAGTAAACGTGTTTCCTTAATACTTTGACGCAGCTGAGAATTACAACGTCCTTTCTGCTTGAAATGTTGGCGCTATTCTTGCCCATACGTCACACACTTTTGTGTGACGTATTTCTCTCCCCATCTTGTTCTCCTTGTGTGTCTCTCTATAATTCTCCATCTCTCTCACTCGCATCACTTTTACATTCTCTCATTTCAAACTTTCTCTCTCATCGCTTTTTAATCCTCCCTCTCTCTTTCTGACCCCGACTCACTTATACTCTTGTCCTTGTTTATCAACTCTCCCACCGCTACTTCGACTAACGTATCGCTCAGTTTGGAGAGCTGAATTTACACCACTACACTTCATTTCTTCAGTGTTAAAGTGACTCTAAAGTGAGTTGGTTCAGCGTTTCATTTTTTTCAGGCAAGGTACGTGTTTTTAAGTACAAAATTCCCATTAAAAAACAAAAAAACATTTTTTCTAATCAACCTCGCGAGAAAATTATTTTTTTTAAAGAGAATTTAGAATTTTATTTTCTGTTCAGAATATTTCCATTCTCTTTCCTTTTTTTACTGAGAAGATTTTTATTCTTTTCGCTAGGAAATTAATTTTCAAGGTGAAAACATTTTGTGCACGTTTTAATATAAAAGGAGCGAGAAGATGAAATTTTTCTCTTTTGCCTGGGAATCTTTTTTTCTGAGTATTATTTAATTTTCGATTAAAATATATATATGGAGTGTAATTAATTTATAAGATAAATAAAACGACGTGTCCTATTTTCAAATGAAATCACACAGAGAGGATATTACTTGTTGCATCAGTGAAATAACATTCTCAGTTTGTGTCGACGATTGGCAATTTAATTTTTCAGAGTGTTTCTTTTAAATACTGTGTTGACTAAAGAGATTGTAATTTTGTGCGCGGAAAACACGTTTTGTTTGAGTTGACTGTTTTTTTCTTTTTTCAATACTGATTTCATCAATTTTAATTAAAGGTGTCATCAATTGAACACATAAACAGTTCTTTTAATAAAAATTATAAATTTTAAAGCAAATACAAAAATAATAAATTTTTAAATAAATTTAGTAATAAATATTACATGTAATAATAAAATAATAAATTTTAAAATAAACGAAGTAATGAGTTTTAAAAAAAAAATAAAAGAATAAAAGACAAATTTTAATATATTTTTTATATTTTTATGATTTTATGATATTTAATAAATTCAGTACTAAATAAATATTAAATTTTAAAATAAATTTAATAAATAATACATGTAATAATAAATTTAAAAATAAACGAAGGAATTAGCATAAAAGAATAAAAGATAATTTTGAAAACAAATTTAATAATAAATAATTCATGTAATAAAATAATAAATTTGAAAATAAACAAACAAATGAATTTTAAAAAAAGAAAAAAAGCCAAATAGTATATTTATTTTGGATTTTTTTTATTTTTAATATATTTAATAAATTCAGTACTAAATAAATATAACATTTTAAAATAAATGAAATAATGCACTGGAAAAAATGTTTATTTGATTCAAATAATCGATTGCTTCTCATTATGAAATAAATATTTTCTTGAATTATATAATTTTTATTTAAACCAATGAAATGGTATTTGCCCCAAATACTGAAATTATTGGTCAAAACAGAATTTTATTGGCTAAGGTATAAAAATTATTAGATTCAACTAAATAAATTCTCGTGTCTTTGAACTCGTGTAAGATTTAAATAAGTAAAAAATGTTAATAAAATAAACTAAAATTTAAAATTTTTTCTAATATAATTATTAATTATTGATACAGATTTATCCTCGGATTTATCATCATTAGGAAAATTATTATTATTTAATTAATTCCAGTATCCGGTTTGCAAAAGTATTCATATTTGAGATAATTTAGCTTCTAGCAAAGTTTCATTCAAGATTTCCAAAAGTTATTTCTCATTTCTGCATATATACACATATTTTCCTTTAATCTTCATAACTGTCTAAATTTTCAATTCATTGAAATGCATTAAAATAAATTAGAAAATTGAACTATATTCTACAATTGTTACGAAAGTGCAATTTAATTCAAAATAGAAAAAAAATGCGTTTAAATATAGTTTCAAATAAATTTTAACGAAAAACTTTGTGTTTTTCTAGTTCATTAAATTAAATGAATTTTTTCTTCATAAAAAATTCTTTAAATTAATATATTGGAAAAACCATTCATCTAATTAAAAAATATTTTTGTTGGTTTTGGAATAAAAATCCTAGTTTATTTCAAACACCTTTTGTTTAATTCTATATAAACATTTATAAAGCAGTTCTACTGAATTGAATTATTTTCAACTTTTGTTGTCTATTTCAAATTAAATCTAATTCAATGAATAATCCTTCCAAGAATAAATTTTTTAAGAAGTAAACAAATTTCAAAAACAAATTAAAAATAATAATTAAGATTTTAATAGAAAATAAAAAATATTTTACGTCTCAAAAATGTTTAAGTTTCAAATAAATATTTGTTTTCATTTTTAAATAATTTAATTATTTGAATTTCAAAAACTTTATTTCTCTAATAATCAAAATATTTTTTATTAAATTTTTACTAATTTATATCAATAAACAAAATTTTATTCAATATTCAGTTTTGTATTAAATTTTAATTATAATAAAACAATTTCATTTTTGAGACAAAAACAATTTAAAGTCCCTGAAGTTCCGAACGTTGAAATGAACGAAATTAATTCATTTTATTTTTGAATTCAAATTTTATTGCAAAAATAAGCCGAGTGTTAAAAAATAATTTATATAAAGTTTAAACATGTTTGATTTATTTTTTTTTTATTTTGAATTTGCTTCCAAAAAATAAATCAAACATTTTGAAACATTGTAAATTATTTTTTAACACGTGACTTATTTTTGCAACAAAATATTGCAAAAATATTTTTTTTTAAATTCAAATTTTATTGCAAAAATCAGTCGAGTATTAAGAAATAATTTATAAAGTTTCAAAATGTATAATTTATGTTTTAAATTTGTTAAAAAAAATAAATCAAACATTTTGAAACATAATCTTGAATTTTATTTTTTTTATTTTTTAATCATCTTTTATTTATATAATTTTATGGCTTTCAAAAATATTGAATAAATTTTTTATATTACAAAAAATAAATTTTGCCAGTTATTTAATCCAGCGAATTTTATTTTGTTACATCAACACCCGTTAATTATTGACAAGCATCGATGTGACGTGTATAAAACAACATTTTGATTGAAAAGAAAAAAAAAAGAATTTCACATCACTTGTAATTTATTTCTGACTCATAGTGCGTCTATTAATAGAAGATCAAGACCGCAAACAGAAAATTATGTTGTTTGGAAAAAATTCTATACATGCATTTTTTCATATTTTTTTGTTTTTTTTCTTGTTTCCTCTCTTTTTTTTGTTCTGAAAATGTATATATAAAAACTATAGGAAAGATATAGGTATGTGTTCTGTTAAAAAATGGAGTTTCGGTCGTATAACATGAGATCGTTTTGCTGACAATCTAGATGCATCCAGGGATCTCAGCGCGTTTTGATATTCGACGCATACGTGCTACGAATCTCATCTTTACAATAACTAGTCCGCTTTATTCGCTTCCCCTTTAAATCGCGATATTTAACATCTCGCAAATCGTAAAAAGAAGATTTATTGCTGTTATTGTTTAGAATATTTTTTTTATTTGAAAAAATTATTTATTTATTTAGTGTCAGATGGAAACATAATATTTATTATCGATTGAATTAAATGAAATTTTTATTAACGATTGTTATCGATTTAGTGTTGAATTTAACAAATTCGACAATAACTTATTTAGAGCTAATAAATTATTAAGTCAATTTACTTTGTTCGTTAATAGATTGTTACTAAAAATTATAAATTAATATTATTAGTTAGTTATAAACCTTTTATTTTCTATCTTAGTGAATATTTTTCGTTAATTTGTTCTCTTTCTTACTAATTAGTAACTAAAATCTAATACTTTTCGTTCATTTTTATCTTTCTCCTGCTGATAAATTACTAAAAATTAATAATGTCTGTTAATTAATATTTTCTCTACGACATATTTGTTAACAATTAATATTGTCTACTAATTTATATTTTTTTTACTGATTGGTTACAAAACTTAATATTGTTTCCTAATTTATACTTTTTTCAATTAATTAATTACTAAAAATCCCTAATTTATAATTTTTTTTCTACCAATTAGTTACTAAAAATTGATATTTTTTAATAATTTTTTTTCTAATTAGTTCCAAGAATTAATAATGTTTGTTAATTAATATTTTTTCTACAAAATAGTTGTTAACAATTAATATTGCAGAGAAAAAAAGGGTTGTCTGTTAATTTGTATTTTCTTTTAATAATTATAGTTACAAAACTTAAAATTCTTTGTTAATTTATACTTTTTTAAATTAATTAGTTACTAAAAATTTAAACTGTTCCTAACTTATATTTTTTTTCTACCAATTAGTTACTAATATTAATATTATTTGTTAGTTTTTACCTTTTTTATTAAATTAGTTCCTAAAATTTATTATTATTTGTTTATCTTTTTGTTTATCTTTTAAAAACTAGATAGTTACTAAAGTTTAAAAAGTTTTGTCAATTTTTATCTCTTTTTTAGTTATAAAATAAAATAAGAATAAAATAAAATTTAGTTATAAATAAAAGTAATTTTATTTGTTATCTTTTTACTAATTAATTGCTAAAAATAAATATTGTTCATCAATTTTATCTTCTTTTCACTAATTAATTACGAAACTTTAATCTTATTTACTAATTTTTTAAATCTTTTTCGTTCTATAATTAGTTACTAAGAATTAATATTATATTTGCTAATTTATATATTTTTTCTACAAATTAGTTACTAAAAATTAATCTCATTTGTTTAACTTTTTTTTTAATAATTATTTACTAAATATTAAAATTAATCAATATTTTTTCCACTAATTCGTTACTAAAAAGGAATATTGTTTTAGTTGCCTTTTTTTACTGATTAGTTTACTAAAATTAATAAATTAAATTACTAAAATTTAATCTTACTTGCTAATTTTTAACTCTTTCTTTCTAATTAGTAACTAAAAATTAATATTATTTGCTAATTTATTATTTTCTCCTGATTAGTAACTAAAAATTAATATTGTTTGTTAATTTATTATTTTCTACTGATTAGTAACTAAAAATTAACATTGTTCGATAATTTATATTTTTTCTACTAGTTATCTACTAAAAATACATTTTTTTTTATAAATTTCATCTCTTTTTTAATAATTATTTACCAAAAATTAATATCATTTACTAATTTTTATTTTATGACTAAAAATTAATATTCTTTGTAGGTTTTTTTATCGTTTCTTTTCAATAACTTATTAGATAGTAATTACTATACGAGAAGTGAACCTTATATATAAAAATGTTGACTCATTGGGCCATGTAAAAATAATGTGTAACATTTCCGGAAGAGAATATAGTTATAAGGTTAGGCTTTGGTAAAAAAAAAAAAAAAAAAAAATTGTTGAAGTGCGTGAAAAACATTAAGACACAAATTGGGTCACTGCTTCTATATCTATTTTTGTTAATTCGAAAAAATTAATAAAATAAATTGCACATATTGTATAAGTATTAAATATTATTGTCATACTTAATATAATTATTATCCTAATTATTAAAATAAAAAACGATATTATTATTAAACTTATTATTATAATTATAACCTAATTATATTGTTTTTATTATTCTTATTTTTTTTTATTATTATACCTATTAAATGCGTAATGCAATACAAATACAATAAACACTCTTGAATGACAATCATTTTAATTTCATACTGAAAAGTAATTCTTTAAATTACACCATCATTTTTAATTAACTACGTAATTTATTCACTACATGTAAAACAAACTGTCATTCTGGTTTCCTATCAAAATATTAACCTCACAAAAAATATAGGTAAATATAATCAAAAAAAATTTTTTTCCAATATCAAATAATTTTTTTCATTTAATTTTTTTTTATTGTTTCGTATTTCTTCTGCTATTGTTTTGAAAACTCGATTATAAAACAATTTGAAATTAAAATCCAAATTTTTTTTTGTTTAGTTTCACATTATAGAAAATTAGTTAAAATTCTCTCAAGGCAAAATTTATACACGATTTTTCCATTTTCAATATTGTTTTCTGAGTAATTTTTCTTTCAAAAGTTGTAATGAGATATGAAATTCACAGGAAATTATAATAATTTTTTTTTTTAAATTCCTAGGTAGTTACTACAATAAAATTTTTTTTCCATAATAAATTTTTTGAAATTCACAGATAATTATAATTATATTCACATTCACAATTAAAAGTCATATAACCTATTCTCGAGACTGATATGTAAAGTTTAAAATTTCTAGTTTCCTTTGAAGGAATAATAATTGTCCTCGTCTGATATTAAATATTCGAGAGGTCTATATATAGAAATTCTACTTTATATAAATAATTTTATGTCCAAAAAGAAATTTTTTTTAATCGAAAAATTAGTCTTTCTTAATTTAGATAAAACAATAAAATGCAAATATTGCAATGCAAAATGCAAATATTTTTATTTGCATTTTATTTATTTTCATATTTTTAATTTTGGAAAGAACGTTTTTTTTACCAATTTTAAAATATAAATGTGAAGGATTTTTTATTTATTAAATAAAAAAGATGACATTTATATCAAAACTCGTAAAAATAAGGCAACTTTTTGACATTTGTCCAGCTATTAAAATTCATGTGTCTCCCATTTGTCTTCATTCAATGAAAACGTGTTTACTCGATGTCCTTTTTTTCTAACTTTTGTCTGCCTTTTCTCCTTTTTCTCCTCTAATTTCTGTTTTTTTATTTTTAGTTTTTTTTTGAGACAGTTTTTGAACACATTAACCCTGATTTTTTTTTCTTTTTAAAGACTGACAAAAGTTTCTGTCTTTTTCTATGTGGCGTCACGCCTTCAACTATATACTTCCTCGAAATTATAATATAACATCGAGAGAATGAAGGTCAGCCACTATATAGTGGTAATTATCAATGACTTTTCAAGATCTTAATGACGAATCGTTATATTCTTATGATTACAGAAAATGCCTGCAACCATGAAAAATGTGATCGCTGTGGCGATTATCTTCTCGATTTCATTGGTTGAAGCTGTTCCATATTCGAGTAAGTTTTTTTTTATTTATTGTAAAATAATATTTTTATTTCCTATTAAAAAAAAAGAGCTCAGCAATAAATTAAGTATTAATGAATAAAAAAATTAAATTATTAATAAACTATTAAGAAATATTAAATTTTCTTAATATTATTTTTAAAAATAAAAATAAAGAAATAGAAAACTGTGAAATAACTTACTGATGATTGACAAGATTGGTTTGGCATAATTCCGGGAAAATTTTGAAATATTCAATATTGATTATTCTCTATTTCCTTTTCTTAGTAAAGGAATTTTTGTTTGAATTGAAATTAATTCAATTTTTATATTGAAAATTTTCTATAATGAAAATTTAATTAAATATTAAATTATGGATTATATTAATAATGAACACAATTTTTATAGAATATATAATAATTAAGTAATAATTAAATAATAATTAATATAATTAATATAATAAGACAGAAAATTTTAATATTCATATATTCTTGACTATAAACGATAATTGCCCATATTATATTAAAATTGAAAATTTAATTAAACTTTTATTATACTTCGAATATTGCAAATCTTATTGGAGATATAAAGAATTTGCAATTTTGTCGACTTTGAAATATTTTTAATTAACGTGTCTGCGCAAGAAGAATGACATTCACTTCCATACTTGCTAAGAGTTTTAAAAAAGTATAGTTAAAATTTATGAAAATTCCTACTCATTAATCTACGTGAAATATTGGTCCTTTATTATTATTATTTCTCTCGAACGAAGAATAAAAAATTGAATTTTTTTTACATGTAGATACAGATTGCAAAAAAAGCATTATTTTTTATTTTTTCCCCTCACAATTAAAGTCAATGGTATATTCGAAAACAATGCAAACTGAAATCAATACTAGTTAAAAGGTTTTATGACAAAAAAAATATTCTTTTTCAAAACATTGTTTATTGACAGTGGTACATAAAAACAATGGTAGTTGAAATGATAAAATATTTCGAAAAAAAAACAAAAAGAAACTGTAGTTATTAAAAATTAAAATAATAATAATACGATTTTGGAGTTAATTAAAAAATAATTACAAAAAGATTAAAATTAGAAAATTTGGTAATTGTCCCTTTTCATAATAATAACTATTTTTAATTGTTGGGTAAATTTAATTTAATCTAGTATTGGTACTTGAATATTTTAAGTCAAAAATTAAATTTATTTATTGTTTATATTATTTATTTCTATTTTTCTATTATTTATCTAAATTTATATTTTTTTTTTATTTAGTTAGATATAAAAATTATTTATTTACGTATTCATATAATTTATTTATTTTTACACTCACAGCTAAACAATCTCTAAAAATAATTTAAATAGCCATTTTTTAACCACATTATAAAAATATCTTATCATTATACAAACTTTATATAATATTTAATAATTACACAGAATCAAGTAGCGATATAATTGTTTATTAATTGAAACCTCGCAAATTCCGAAAGTACGCCTTGAATTATGACCTAATTATCAACTCATTTGTTGCCACACGTATAATTTCGTTCATTCAACAGTAAATACACGTTTTCTGTAAAATATGAAACATTTTTATTTCATTAAAAAAATAAAAGAAAAAATATTTCACACAGGAAGATATAGAATTTCTTTCATAAAAATACACATTTTAATTAGAGAAATTATAATTATCAATGGCAGAACAATGTATTTTTAAATTTATAACAAATAATTACTATTCAGGTCATTAAATTGTTAATTTGTTACACATTTTGTCAAATGAAAAAATTAAATTTTCTTTTTATTACATTATTGTGTAAATAGGTAATTATTATTATTTATAGAGAATATTGTAATTATTAATTTATGATTGTAGTGGATTGTTAATAAAATGGAATTTATTATAAATTTATCGCGTTATAATATATTAATATTATTAGTGAATAATTATTATTAGTTAATATTATTAATAATAAATTAATATCAACGGTGTTGATATTTAATTTATTGAAATTTATTAATTATTAAATTTAAATAATTTTCCATTTAACTAAATATTAATTTAATTTGATTTTTATCACTGTATTATATAATATAATATCACCAGCAACAATTCGCGCGCGGCTAATTAATTAATAAATAATAAAAATTTCTCAGGAATTCAATTATTTAAAAATTTTTTTACAAATTCCTTCGCAATAATTCAATTATTTTTATAAATAATAAAATTTTGTCAATTATTTTCATAAAAAATAATTAAAAATTGTAGAAAATAATAATAATTTTTTTACAAATTCCTTCGCAATAATTCAATTATTTTTATAAATAATAAAATTTTGTCAATTATTTTCATAAAAAATAATTAAAAATTGTAGAAAATAATAATTCATGTGAAATGTTGAAAATAATTTTGAAAAAGTTACTGTAATAAGATTCTTTTAATATAAAACAATGATTTTCGAATAATTTTACAAATAAAAAAATTCGTAAATAAATGTAACAGAACATTTTTTTCAGTAAAATATTTTCCTTTATTTTCTAAAAATTTAAAAAGTTTCAATTTCATTTTGAATTGAAATTTGTAATTGACAAATGGAATAGAATATGGAATGTTTCTTTTCCAAAAGAAAAGAATGAGTTTCTGAACAATATTGTTATTGAGAAATATAAATTATGCATAAAATGGGTATATTTCCTATTTCTTAATTATCATTTTTTAACAATTAACAATTTTCTCATATTTTTTATAAATAAAAAGGAGAAAAATTTGTATAATTTAGATCAGTCAAACGAAATTTGTTATAGAAAAAAGCGTATAATAAACAAAATTTATTTGTTAATCATAATTTTTTTTATATTTTCTAATTTCAAATATTGTTTTATTATAAATCATGAAAAAATACCTGCATTCTTTCGATCTGTCAAACAATATTTTTTAAAGAAAACAAAAAAACAAAAAAAAAACAAAAGCATACACAAAAACTAACTTCAAAGTGTGGACAGACAGAATGAAAGAATGAAATACGAAGATTATTATAGTTAATTATATTTAATTTATTAAAAATAATTTCAAATTTCAATTTAAATAAATATTAATTTACTTTACTTTATATTATTTTTTCGATTTTTATATTAAACAATTTAATTTTTACATGTTCTCTTAATATTTAATTCATTTTTTAATATTTTTTTAATATTAATATTAATATTAATATTAATTATATTTAATTTATTAAAAATAATTTCAAATTTCAATTTAAATAAATATTAATTTACTTTACATTATTTTTTCGATTTTTATATTAAACAATTTAATTTTTACATGTTCTCTTAATATTTAATTCATTTTTTAATATTAATATTAATATTAATATTAATATTAATATTAATATTAATATTAATATTAATATTAATATTAATATTAATATTAATATTAATTATATTTAATTTATTAAAAATAATTTCAAATTTCAATTTAAATAAATATTAATTTACTTTACTTTATATTATTTTTTCGATTTTTATATTAAACAATTTAATTTTTACATGTTCTTTTAATATTTAATTCATTTTTTAATATTTTTTTAATATTTATTAAATGTTATGTTATTTAATTAAAATAAAAAAGTAACTCGTTGGGTCAGTGATACTTATACCCCATCCAATTTTTCTCACTTGCGAGAGAGTTTTCATGCCCCCTAGGCGGCAATCAACAAAAATATATTGGCGCGAAATTCAATAAAACAAGAATTCGAATTAACTTAATTGTAATAAAACGATTTTTTGTTTATTACAGACGAAAAATTAGTGAATCAATAATTATTAACAAATTGCTTCTTCTTATTATTTTTACCTTCTATTTCACATTTTCGTTACAATTTTTTATCTCTAATTATGGAAAAATATTTTCCTCTGAGAACGATGGTGAAATTATTGTTTAGTAGAAAAGCAGTGTCTCTTTTATTATTAGTATAATGTGTAGGTATACAAGATGAGAAAAGTGTTGATTCAAAACTGAAATATGAGAAATAAAAAAAAATTCTGTATAACAAATATTGTATATATGACATATAGGAAAATGTCACAGGTTAAATAAATACACTCTCGACAAAGTTGTCCGTTTTTCCCAGATGCTTAAAGGGCATAAGAAAATAGCGTCATAACTGTATGAGAGAAAAAGAGAAAACAAGAGAAAGAGAGAGAGAGAAAGAAAGTTGGCTATTTCGGTTTTTCATCAATATATATAGAAGTTACTCTCGTCTCTATTAATGAAAGAGAAGCTGCGGAGGATAGAGTAAAAATATTACATCGATCGTTGTACCGGTAGTTATATTATGCATTTAGCTTGAACCTTGCATAACGTCATAACACGATATAACGCAACTAATCGTAATTCTATTTGAGCTTCTCCCGCAGTAACCCCATCGATTCTCAATTATCGACACCATCGCTGTCGTTACTGCAATGACCACATCTATTCCCCCCACCACACCCTCCCCTTCTCCTTCACTATCACCCAAGGGAACTTTTTTATTTTATATCCAACATCTTTCTGGACCAAGTCACGTTTTACTTTTTCGTTCTGTATAACCCATTCTCATTCCATTGGACATCATCCTTTTGGCGATAGTTTCCGGTTCACATTTACTTCTCTCTCAAAGATACCAATCTATAATACCTTCGAAAAAAAAACTTGAACCCAAAAGGGCTAAAGGGGATTTTTTTTTATTAGCCAAAGGCTATGGACATTAGGTGCGAAATTCCTTCTCATTGAATATTCACGCTTCGTATTTTCAAAAAGGGTGGAGCGCAGTCTTTGGAAAGGAATGAAAGGAATGGATAAATATTGTTAGGGCAATTGAATCATGTTTACTTGAGTAAGAGAAAATTGAGTAGAGAGAAATTTGCGAAACCAATTTGTTCATTTGGGGGAAAAAACAAAAAAAAAAAAATTGTCTGCTAATAATTAAGTCAGTTCGTTTTTTTGTTTTATTGAATTTGAATTTCGCGCCTTTTTGTTTATGTTGATTGCCGCCTAGAGGGCATGAAAACTCTCTCGCTAGTGAGAAACAGTGAACGGGATATAATTATCACTCACCTGTCGAGTTTCTGTCTCATTCAATTCTAAAAATTAATTAATTAAACATTAATTATTAATAAAATAAAACTAATAAAATAAATAATAATTGTATCAATCGAATTTTGTACATTTCCCAATAAAAAATAATTATTTTTCTATAATGTCCTCTAGGCTTTTGATCATAATAGATTAATATTTATTAATTAAGTAAATAAATACTAGTTATTAATTTATTTAATAAAAATAATAATTATATCCGATAGAAATAATTTTGCACTGTTATCAAAGAAAAATATTTTTGTGGAGATTTTTTATTTCATTTATTTTATAATTACTCGAGAGAAAAAATTATAAAAAAAATTTTTAATAATATCTTTTGATCTTTCAATTGTAATGAATAATAATTATAAATTATTAAATTGATGTTGTCTATTTAATTGATTAAATAAATGTTAAGTTAGTTTTGTTAATTGAATAATAATTATATCGGTCGAATTAATTTTGCACAGTTCGCGGTGAAAAATATTTTTCTACAATTATTCGAAATTAAAAATTATAACAAGAATGGTTTATAATATAATATCCTCTGACTCTTTTGATCATAATAAAATAAAATTATCAAATTAATATTAAATAAATTAGTAGGTATTCATTATTGTTCCAAAATAATGATTAAAATTGAAAAAAAAAATATTTTTAACGAAATAATTTTGCAATGTTTGAAAATATTTTTCTATACAATTGAGATAAAATATTATAACAAAATTGTGAATTAAAATTATAAAAAATATGAAAAATGTAAAAAAAATAATGTAAAAAATATAAAGAAAATTAAACAAAAAATATAAAAAATATAAAAAAAATTCACATATGAAATTTTTTGTCTATTTTCTATAAACGTCCTCTGACCTTTCGATCGTTTTTATAAAGTAATATATAGTTCACGATTTTTTTTTTTTGTTTCGTTAAGGTCAGGTCAAAGTCGTTGCAATTTTTCCATTAAACCAACGAGAGACGACTTTGACCTTCCCTTAATGTAAGTTTAAGAAAAGAATAAGAAAAATTTGGAGGAAAATTTATAAATAGAAAATAAAAGAACAAAAATTCAATATAATAAAAATTTGTTACGAGGGAATTATTTCTCATTTCATTTTTTCTGTTTTTTTTCTATTTTTTTTCTATTTTTTTTTTTTTTTAATTGTTCGGATTATCTTCATTTGTACGAGAGCATCATTCTGTGCGAAATTATATAAACGCAGTCGGAGCTTACAATCTCTTTTTTTTTCTCTGTCATTCTTTAACTCTTTTGCTCCTCATGGAATTTCCTTTCCAGTGGGTGATTTTCACATGATAATGCTGAAATGTTGATCTCCAGGGACTTTACGTGTTTGGGAGTACACGAAAGTTCTTTTTTTTCTCTCTCCTCTCAAATTTTGCGGCTATTATTTTTCATTTTTTCGAGTTACCAGACAAGTACAGCAGAAAAAAAGGGGAAATAGTTTTTTTTTTTTTTGAGGATTTTTTTTTCTTCGACTTTTTTCTTTTTCTTTTGTGTGCGGAATTCTAGAATTTTATTGAAACAGTCGAAAAAATTTTAAAAATATTTCCCAAAAAAATAATTTGCGAATTTTATTGAAAAAATTAAAAATTAAATTAAAAAGGGGAAAGAATTTTTTTGAAAGAGGCAGTTCGCATTTTTTGTGCGAAATTCTAGAATTTTATTGAAAAATTTAAAAAATATTATTAAAACAATAATTGAAGTGGGCAAAAATTTGAAATAATTTAAAGAAGACAAATTTAGTTACAAATTAAAAAAAGGAAAAAGAAGGATTAAAATAATAAAAATGTAAAAAAATAAAAAAAAATACAATTTTTAAAATTGTTTTCAACTGCAATTGAATTTAACACACGGATGTTAACTACAAGTATTGTTTTTGAACACAAGACCAATTTTTGCCAATTAGAATTGCTTTTCATTACAGAAACGTTTATGAAATTCCGCATTGTTTTTAATTACCAATAATTCCTGTTGGAAACGTATTTAAATTATTATTTCCAATTACCAGCTCCCATTGATTTTAACTACTATTATTTACTATTGTTTTCAATCAGTGTTGATATCAACTTCCCTTCTTTAAGTTCTGTTCCTATTAAAAACCAAATAACACTTTTTCATTTGCGAGAAAAAATTCTAAATAATTTTTACTATTTACAAAGTAAAATAATAAAAATTACTTTACATTTCAATTTCCATTGTTATATTGAAACTATTTTTTATTATTATTTTACTTTGTAAATAGTGAAAATTATTTTAAATTTTTTCTCGTGTGGTAATTAAAAAAGTGTTAATCATTAATTTTAATATAATAAATATTATTAATATTGTTTATCAATAAATAAAATTGATTTATAATTTATAAATAATATTAAAAATTTATAAGTAATAAAATTGATTTTTGATTTTATAAATAAAATACCATTTTAAATTAAATTTTTTTTCAACTTTTAACAAATTATTATTGTGCAAGAGTAGGTAATTGTATTTTGTGAAATATAGGGGAAAAAATTCTCAGAAAATATAAAAGAGAGAATATAAAATAATTCTAATTAGTTTGTAAAAACTAAAAAGGCAAAAAAATTGAGGAATAATTTTAAACGAACGTTTTTTTATCCTCTATTCTAGATTTTAAATTATTATTTCATTGTGTGATTTGCAGAATATGGAAGAACTTGTAATGATATTGGATGTCCCAGCAACGAAGTTTGTGTCATAAAGGAAGATCAATGTACATATTCAAACAGTCAATGTGGTCGTTATCCAACTTGCGAAAAAAGAAGCCATGGAGGTAAACACATTAAAGTTTCGAAATTATAGTATACACTCGAAAATTGCATCTTTAATTTATTTCCCTATAAATTACTATATTCATTTTTTTAATTAATATTAATTTTCGATTCACTGTATTTTTATTTATTTACTATTTATTCTTTTAATTAATATTAATTTTTTCCACTATATTTATTTCTTTATTTTTTTTATTTACCGTTTATTTTATTTATTATTTACTTATTTACTGTTTATTTTTTATTTACCTTTCATAACTGTTCTTTACTTTATCTCAAAAATAAAATAACTTTCCTTAAAATTTTGTTCTATTTTTCCCATTTCTCTAACATTTCGGTTTAATTGTTCTCGTTATTTACCTTTTTACTACGTAAAAATTTGTTTTTTTTTGATAAAAAAAAACAGTCAAAAATATATTTCAGGAAAAGTTAATTTAAAAATCAAATCTAATTTAGTAAATTATATTTTCAGAACCAACTTGCAGTACAATGAATTGTCCAACGGGTCAGAAATGTAAAATAGACAATGGAAGGCCAGTCTGTGTGAAATCTCAAGGTAAGGTCATAAAAAATTCATTTCCTTTTTATTCGTTTGGATTTAAACCAATTTTATTTTATTTTGGAAAAAGGTTTTCTTTTTTTTTATTTCCTTTTTCTGTGTAGAGACTGAAAACAAAATCAAATACAAATTTAGAGAATGGCGAGTTGTAGAAAACAAAACATTTGCATGAGGAAAAAATTTCTATTGATTGTTGTTTTCAATGTTCATTTATTTATTTATTTAAACTTTGAACACTTAATTGTTTCTAAATTCGAGTTATTTAAATTTCAGTTTTATTTCAAATTTGAAATCGTTATTTTATTTATTTTTATTTATTAAAATTACATTTATATTTTACAATCGCCTGTCAAATTGACAGTCGAATTATTTTCAAATTAAATAATATTTACAATATAAAAAAATTGTAAACAATCATTACTTGATAATTAATATTTCGGGTCCTTTGAAAAAAAATTTTTTCCTCTTAAAATATTCGATGAATAAAACCCTCGATATTTGAATTTTTTTTAATATCCCTTGAGATTCAATTTGTCGAGAGTCGACTGTATAATATAAATGTAAATTTTTTATATAAATAGAAATAAATATAAATATTTTAAATTTAAATAATAAATAGAATATGTAACAAAATAGAATAAAATAATAAAAACAATAAATTATAAAGTAGAAAATAATAAATAAGTAATAAATGAAAAATAAATAATAAATAAGAAAAGAGCAATTTTTTACGAAAGGGAAATTTTCCTTTCTCTTTAAGCTTATTTATATGTTAAAATAAATAAATAAATAAATAGTAAAAAAATGAATTTAAATAATAATAAATTATTATTATTAAAATTCGTACTATAAATTTCTGGACTTAGTTTTTAATTTAATTTCTAATTGTTGTAATTTGTAATACATAAATGTTTATAGACAAGTAGAAATGGTATTATTTTACACGTAATATTTAACCTGGGATTTGCTGTAAATTATCATGTATTTCATGTAAATAGAGAATATTTTAAATACGGGATGGATACAGAACGAAACGATTGTTTATGGCGATAAATTGTGAAAATTTTCACGAATTTTAATCCATTGAAATAGATACACGATGGATTTTTTAAATATCTCGCGTTACAATTATTTACGTATCGATCCTAAATATAAAATTTTTCGCTTTTGTAGAAAAATAATTCACAAACGAATTATTTTTGCAAACAATTTTTTTTTTCGTTCAAATTAATTAAAATTGAAAAGAAAATAATTTCTTTTCCAAATATAGTTCCCAATAGTTATAAATAATAATAATTAATTCATTTATCATAATTTCTACAAAAAGGAACGAAAAATGTTTGCATGCTCTTTTTGTGAATGTGTGTAAATAAATCTTCGCAAACGCTTGTATGAAAATTGTTAGAGAAAATAGACTGATGTGGAAAAAAAAAATTGTTTCTCCACTTATCTATATTTAAATAATTAAATTAATTAAACTAATTAAAAAATTAATTAAATAGAAATTGTAAGTTAAAATTTAAAATTTTAATTTTAATTTCGTTCTAAAAAGAATTTTAGACTCGTGCAAAAATATAATTTTATTTTTTACTCATATATTCTTTTTGATATTCTTTCAATTTATTATTTGTTTTATTATTTACTTGTTCACTTATTTAATCTATGGAAAGAAGTAAAAAATTTTTTAATTAAATTTACTTTTTCTTTTTTGTGAGAGAAGATCAAATACAGTTGCACAATTGTAATTGAATTTAAAAACAATAAGAAATGTAATAAAAATGAGATGAAATTCTTTCATTCAATTTCAATCTGATTACATAAAAATAATAAATCAGTTTTAATAATTGGTGAAAAATTATAGAATTCAATATTTAATTAAATTAGATATTTATTTATTAAAATAAGAATTATTAAATATTCTTTCAATTAAATTAGAATATTTCAAAGTCCTAATCAGTCTATTACAATTTTCCTTTATAGCTTCTATTTTCATATGGCACATTATAGACTACAATTTTATTTCTACCAATTTTTGTGGTTTGGTTTTTTTTTTTAAATTTTAATTCGCCAGTGTGACTATTAATATGGTGAAGGTAAACGCTTTTATTCCCCTTTTGAAAATTCTCTTAGCATTTAAAACACACGGCTTTCTGAAATTTTGATGAGTTTGCACTCGTATTATGGCGCACGCTTCCAAGCACCAAACACTCATTTTTCTCAAAGCTAGCACTTTTTTTCCCTAAGCGGTGATGGTGGTTTGTAATAAATTGACTTTAAATGAGGTCCTTCAATTATTCTTTTCTCTGTGATTTATTCAATTTCCCAAAAAAATTCCTTGTATATAGTTTTCTTTCTTTTTAAATCCAAATGGAGTCTATAATCAGAGAATTCTAAAATCAAAATTAAATTTCAATTGAATCATATTAAATTCATTTTTTTTTCTCCCAAAAAAAATTATTTACAATAAAAAAAATAATGAATAAAAATAATAATAAAAAAAAAATAATTTCTACATCATAAATATATTTAATATTTTAATCAATTAATTAAATATTTTAATCGTTTCACAAGATTTGACAAAATTATCCAAGTGAATGATGTTATTCAAATAGTTGTCTCTGTATTGCCATCGTTTTTTATTTTTCTTGTTGAAAAAAAAAATTTAATTGACGAGGGCAAAGAAAAACTAAACATTAAATAAAAAGATTGGAGAAAAATAATTTTTTGTCAAACCAATCAATTCGAACTAAGAGAAATTCCTATCGAGTTCCAAGCTGATTAGTTTTCCATGGAATTTCTCTTATCTCTAGTGAAACATATCATGAATCGAATGCCTCTCGATCCACTTTCGATTGAAAGCGAATTATTTTTAATTACTCGTCCTCCCTCCCTGCCTCCCTCTCTTTTCTACAGTAATTAAGTTACTCGAAAGACGAAAAAAATAAAAAATTTACTTTCAATTACTATTTTTCCAATTATATTTGCCGGATTATTCTTTCACGTTGAGAAAATAATAACCGCACAAGAAAATAATAACCAACAAGAAAATAACAAACCAAGTTATTAAATTTCAAACCAAAAAGAATAAAATAATAACTAAAATAAATAATTAAAAAATATAGAACAGAATAACTGAAAAAATAACAGGGTTGCCAAAAAAATTTCTGTTTGTTTTTCCCTGACTTTTTACTGATTTCTAGACGCAGAAAATAGAATTTTTCCCTAATTCATATAAAAAAATTCAAGGGAGAGTTCTATTATAAAAAACTAATAATTTTTAGAAGCAAAAATTTGATTTAAAATTTTAAGGGTGTCTATATAGTTTAGAAATAAAATTAATTACTGTCGGTAACTTCCCTCGCAATTATTTTCCAAAACTTTCAATAAAATTCATTTAAAAACTTAAATTATTTTTAATAGAATTTCATAAAATTTCAATTACATCAAATATTTTAAATAATTGTTTTAAAAAATTTTTATTTAGTTTTACTTTATTATTTTTTATCTATATATTTATTTAAACAATAGAATTGTAATACTTTAAAAAACTAGCTTTTCAGAATTATAAGTCAAATTTTTCGAAATTTCAATTTTTTTGAGTTTATATCTTTTTAAAATTAACTTATTAAAGTAAAATTTCATTGTAACTTTCTCGAAATTAAATTAATTTTGATGAAATTTAGAACCTTTAGTGTTGCTTTTTATATTAACAAAACAACGTTCGATTGTAACTATTTGTAAAATTTAATTATTTACATTGAAATTCCTTGCGAAAATCGATTCTGACTTAAATTTCTAATTGAATTTTTTAACTAGACTATTTATTTTTAATTCGATTTCAAAAAAATTCAATTAATTTTATAAGTCTTTAATAAAATATTCCTAAAAATATTTAAAAAAAAAAATTCCTAAAAATTAAAAAATTGAATTAAAATTTCTCAGAAACCGAATTTTTCAAAATTTTCAATACAATTATTTGAAATTTAAATATTATTTCACATAATTCCCATTTAACATAAAATTCACTTGACATAAATTTTTAATTGAAATAAAGATCATTTGACGCATAAAAATATAGGCGCAAATTTAAAAATTGTTCAATCACAATTTTTTTGATAGCATCTAATTGGTTTCTTCTAAAATTCGCGCCAATATTTTTATGTCAAATAAAATTTATATAAAATAATAGTCATATTATATAAATTTTGAATACGAATTTTTCTGTTAAATAAAATTTATGTCCATTAAATTTTTTGTCAAATTATTTTTATTTTTATTAATTTTTAAATCAATTTTTATTATAAAATTCTACAAGAATTTAATTATTTAACTGTAAAAATAAATAATTAATTATTTTTTCTAAAAATTTAATACTTTTAAAAAGAATTTTATCAAACATTTTGGAAATAATTGAATTCCTCTGTGAAGATTTTGTTATTTGTAAAAATAATTTAATTCTTGCGAAAGGATTTAATTAAAATTTTTGAAAATAATTGAATTTCTTTATAATCATTCTTTGAAAATTTGTAAGAATAATTAAATTATTTAGAAAAATTAAATTAAAATTGTATTAAAAATAATTGTATTCTTGCGATGAATTTTATTATTTATGAAAATAATTGAATTCCTCTGTGAAGATTTTATTATTTGTAAAAATAATTGAATTCTTGCGAATGAATTTATTGAAATTGTAGGAAATAATTGAATTTTTTTTTAATCATGTTATGAAAATTTAAAAGAATAATTCAATTATTTTAAATAATTTATTTAAAATTGTATTAAAAATTAAAAATAATTGAATTCTTGCAATGAATTTATTGAATTTTAAGAAATAATTGAATTTCTCTGTAAAAATTTTATTATTCGCAAAAACAATAATTGAATTCTTGCGAAGGATTTAATTAAAATTTTTGAAAATAATTAAATTTCTTTATAATCATTTTATGAAAATTTATAAGAATAATTAAATTATTTAGAGAAATTTAATTTAAATTGTA